CCAGGGGCCCGCGCCGATCGGGGGCGCGAGCCACGCGGTCGCGCGGCCGCCGGCAGCGGCCCCCAAGCAGGACAGGCCAGGAATCCGCGCCCGACGACGGCATGGGCCTTGTTGCGGCGGAGCCGCCAGACAAGGAGCGCCATAAACTTGTTCCGTTAGCCGCGCGGCTGGCGCCAGGCCCACTGGCCGGCGCGGGCGAGCGAGCTGTTGCCCTGAGCAGCCTTGGGCAGCGTTCTGACAAGTCCCCCATCTTTCCGGGGCCGCAAGTTCACCTGCGCAGTGGCGATGCGCGCGGTTATCTGGGCGCTGAACTCGCTGGGGCATTGCCCTCTCGTCTCCTGCCCAATGGGGAGGAAGGAAAGCAAGGATGCATCGCGGTCATGATCCAGCGAGGGCAGGCCGCTGCGTCAGCGAACGCGCGCGCGGCAGCCGCGCCTCGACCCTTCGGCAACCGCAAGGTTGAGTGGGTCGCAAGACAGCGGGGCGCACGCTACACGCACCGCTAAGGACGCCAACCTTCGCGGGTCGCGCAGCGCGCGGCGCGGCGCGCAATTGACTGCACCGCTGCACGCGCGCGCATCCAAAGCGAATGGCGAATGCGCGGGCGCGGCTGGCCAAACGCACGCGCGAAGACGGCCCTCCTGGGCGGCCCTCATGGCTGCGACGCGCCGCCGGCGCTGGCGACGACGAACGCATCGACGCCCTCCGCACCGTCGCGCGCGGACACGGGGGGCACGCTGGCTGGGCTGACGCACCCCTGCCCATGCTGCGGACGCAGCGCGGTGAGTGAGGCGGTAGAGGGCGCGCCTCGCTGCTGGCCGTCACGTTCTGCTGACAGTCGACCCCGACCATGCTGTCGCAGTTGATTCGAGCGCGCCAGAGCAATGGCGACGTTCGTCTCGCCCCGCGGGTGGCCCGGCTCGCACGCGGGGGCGCAGGCCACAGCCGCGCGCGCTCGCGGCCGTTGGCCCGGAATCGCCCCCGGCCGCCGCGCGCGCCAGCAGGCGCGCTGAGCGCCACGGGGGTCACAATCACTACAGTGGATGGTAGTTGTTGTTCGGCAGCAAGCGCGCTGCGCTTGATTGGAGGGCGAGGCAACGGCGCTCTGCGGCGACTCTGGCCTGGCGACTACAAATGGAAGTCACGGCAACTGGCGGGCGCGGGCTGCAGCGGAGCAGGCGCGCGGCCGGCGGCCGCTTCTCCAGGGGGGCCGGGCGGGGGACACGATTGGAGAGCGCAAACAAGGGAAGGCTGAGCAGAAGCAGAAATGAGCCGATCTGGGGACCGCGCAGCGGCACTGCCTCGCTCTTCCCTCGCGTCGGGTTCGTCTTCACACACCCCTCCTTTCGCCCCCTTCTGCCTGACTGTCATCCTAGTCATCTGCCTGGCGTCGTTCTCCTCGCCCTCGACTATATCGCATCCCCCGCGGTCTCAGACTCTCCGGGCCCCCCTCGCCCCCGGGGCAATCCAGCGGCAGCCGGCGCTCCGCGGTCCGCGGCGCGGCGGACGCAGAGACTGAGCGAGCTGCGAACCCTTGGACGGGCACCCACGTCGCGCGCGGCGAACGGCCGCGGGCGCGGAAGGTGGAGCGGATGGCCCGGTAGAGCACGACGCACTGCACGTTGACAAAGATGACAAAGAAGAAGCAGGAAAGCGGGAAGAACGCGCAGGACAAGATGGAGATGGACACGTAGATCGATGGCGAAGTTGCCAGGCCAGTCAGCAAAAACACACCTTATCAGCCCAGACAGAGGATAGACGTCACCAATAACCCCACGTCGTACTCAACGAGACTGAACGCGCGCGCCGCGTAACATCTCGGCGAAGATCACAATCATATCCTGCGGCTTCCGACATCAACGCGCGCAGTCCACTGGGCGAGCAAGCCATGCTCGGCCCTGCGTGGACTTGGCGGCCCGGCAGATGGCAACGCGGTCCGCCCGAAAGGAGGCGGGGGCCCCGTGGAGCTCGATCCCTTGGATCGCCAGTCGCCGACTCCACTACAGGCGCAGACCGCTAGCGGTGCGGGCCAGCAGGGCGCGCCCTCGGCAAGGGGGCGCCACGCCGTTCAGCCTGTCGGCGAGGCATCAATGGAAGCACTCCTTCGCCAGACGGCGGCCCACCAAATGATTGCGCGCCGGCCGAGTCAAGTGCCAGACCCGCAGCAGGTCGCACGCACGAGGTAGGTCGCGCCAGGCGGCGCATGCGCAGCTGAGAGGCGGCGCGCCGATTAGGTAGCACTGCCCGCATCAGCTGCCACGCGCCTCAACTGCTCCTATTCAATGAGGCGGCGACGCAGGAGGATTGAAGGGCGGCGCAGAGACGGCTTGCAATCAGGGAAACGAGCACACGGGCTGAAATCGCATGCAGGCGGACCCTGCCCGCGCAAGGTCTCTCTGCGAGATGCACCCCGCGCGACATAGCCGATTGCACCCTAAGCGCAGTTGGGAGAGGCCAACATCCGCGCCAAAGGCACTCTGAGAGGTGGTTGGAGACGAGCTCGGCCAGACTCAAGCGCGCCTGGCGCGCCAGCCTGCGCGCGCACAGGCGCGCGGTGTGTCACAACGGCGCCCCAGCGTGCATAGCACAGCGCGTTGTTGGGCACAAAAAAAGCGCGCCTCTGCCTTTGCGCGCGCTCCGGCGCACGGCCGAACATGCTGCCGCCCAGCGCGCGCTGCAAGCCGCGTAGGTGCGCGCGGGCAGAGCACGGCGCGCGCGCCGGCACTGCCGGGCACAAGCAACGTTCCAGCGCGCGTAGCACGACGCATGGGAGCGAAAAGGCATAGCACACCGTGCTTGCGCGGGCCCCGGGCGCTGAGCAACTCATGGGTGCACATGGGTACCCCGCGCTGCGAAGCCCGCCCCGCCACACTGGCAACGCGTCGGCGTGCTTCCCACCAGCGAATCCTCAATTGGACAATCGCCGTCAAGGGACAAACGCGCAAACTTCTCTATCCAGAACTGCCGCCGCATGGGGTGCACAGATTGCCGTGTGGCCGCGCGCCTGGACCGACCTGCATAGCGCAGGGCGCATACGTAATCTTGCAGCCGACGACACAACGAGCATGTCAGTGCACCTGAGACCACACACTCTGCACATCGTAAGTCCGAGCGCCAGGGCGTTTCCGTGCACCAGAGCGTGGGGCCACAGGTCTTGTTGTCATACTCACTATTAAGTGAACGGCACAGCTCTGCCTTGATTGTCCATCATACTCAATATGGTTACCTCGTTGAGTAAGTGAACGGGCGGCGCGCCTGAGGTGAAGCTGACAAGTGGTCGTGGCCAAAGCCGCGCACGGCGTAGCACGTAGGCTGGGCACCCCCGCGTTCCTTGGGGAAGGGTGCGTGACAGGTTTCCATGCAGCACGCGGCACGACAGCAATAGGTGCCAGCTACATGTCTGGACGCCTCATCCCGGAAGGGCGCTGGTGTAGGTGGTAATGAAGCCCCCGTCAGGAAGGACCAGAAGAGGACGAAGCACGGAAGCTTGGAGTTACCAAACTGGTTGACGGGGCAAATGAACCGAAGAACCCAAGTGAGCAACGGTCGCGGCGTAGCAGGCGTGCTGGCTGCATCTGGACGTGGTGTCTGCAGCCCTCGACGGATGTGTGTTTGGCCGGCTGCGGTCCCCTGGGACAAAAACATACATCGGCGACACCAGGTTGACAATGAGCGGCCTGTTCCCCCCGAGCGCCAAGATGAAGATCCTCTTCGGTAGGATTCCACCACGACTGGGGCTGCGGAAGCACGTTGGGGATCGGGCCTGCCCAGGGCGAACACCATTTGAAGCAGGGGACAGCCGTAGTAGTGGCGTTGCCCTTGGCTGGTGTCAAAAACGGGAAAAACAACGACAGGAACGTTCAGTGTTCCACCCGAGTGGTGCGACGCGCTCGCAAGGACAGCCAACACTGTCGCACACATCACCAGGCACGGTACTAGCCCATGGAGGAGCCTCGCAGTCATGCCCGACGCGAAGCTGCGGCCACCGTCTGCGGGGCGATGGGTCGGGGGACGTCGTGGCGCTCCTGCGAGCGAGTCGCTCCGCATCGCGTTGTAGCCTGCAGGTGCCGATGCCCTGCGCAGCTGGCCTCTGGCACGTTTCACACGGTCCGGCGCTCGCCTCATCGTAGCCTCTGAGCGTCCAGGGCGGCGTATCACTCGGCTTGCAGAAGAGCCAGAGGCACATGCCGTTCGAGGGACGGTGGTGTCGATGAAGAGATTGGGGGGGAGTGCGAACGCGCGTCCACATCGCACTATGCGCAGCCCCATGGATCGCGAGCTGGGATCGCTCCCAGTTCCGCTACAAACTAGAATTGCGGGTGGCAATGGTACAAAGGTGAGAGACATGGCGGCACTGGTAACATGAGAGATACCAGAGCGGCGGTCCTCTTCCATTTCAACATCATAAACTACGCGGGCCCACTATGAGCCAAACGGCAGCGGGCCCCTCCTATCCGAGTGAGGAGGAGGAGGAGGAGGAGGAGGAGGAGGCGGAGGTAGAAGCGGAGGCGGAGGAGGAGGAGGAGTAGGAGAAGGAAGAGGAGGAGGAGGAGAAGGAAGAGGAGAAGGAGGAGAAGAGAGGGCGAGGAACAGGAAGAGAGGTGGGCTGGCACCTGAACTGCGACCATTTCTCTCGCGGCGGCAGCCCACGTCCTGAAGCGTCCATAGGCAAGCCAAGAGAGGCAGGAGAACACGGACGAAAACTACGAGGCGATGACGAGAGGGCGGGGACAAAGGGGAGGAGCGACAGGAGAACGAATGAAAAGGACGACGGCGACGATGAGAACTACGAAGACGAGGCGAGACGAAGGACAGGAGGAGAGCGATGAGGACGACGACGGCGACGGCAACGATTAGCGACAACCGGCGATGACGTCGAAGACGACGGCGACGGCGAGGGCGGCGCGCGGGCGCGCGCTAAGTCGCGCTAGGAATTGCCGGCGAAGGATGGCGCCCCCGCTGTGCCGGCGGCGCTCAGGACGCCGCTGAAGTCCCAGCCGTCAAGCTCCTCGGGCAGTCACCGCCGACGCCGCTGTCGTCGATAACGTCAGCGACGTCGATGTCGCCGGCATGGTCCATGCCGATGTCGACGTCGTCGTACTTAGTCTCCGCAGAGATCGTCGTCGACGACGTCGTTGTCGACGTCGCCGTCGTCGCCGACGACGACGATCTCGAACGTGGTGTCGTCACTGTCGCCGTCGCAATCCACGTCGCCAGCGCCATCGCCGAAGCCCTCGCGCCTTCCGAGAGCTTTCCTGTCGTCGGGGAAGGCTTAGAAAACTTCTCAGAAGGCTGGGGGGCTTCCGAGCTTTCTGAGAGGGCCTGCCCCTTCTCACTCCCGCCCCCCCCTCGCTCGCCGGCGAAAAGGGGGAACCGTGCGAGCGGAAAAAACAACTCGGGAGCGCTGGCCCGAAGGCGCTGCACGGCGCACCCACAGCTGAAGCCACAGATGCACAGAGAAGTATGGGCAGAGCGGGCCATCCCACAGGTTTGGCCGCGGGGCTCGGGGAGGTGGCCAGGGAAGCCGTCGGCACGGCGCCGTCGGAGCGGCGCCGGAGGCGGCGGCGCATGCGGCGTCGGATGTGGCGTCGGAAGCGGCGACGGGCACGGCGTTGGGGAGTCGGCGGCCGGGGTGGGGAGGGGAAGTCTGGACCCCTTCCCCCGGACCGGTTCTCTTCATCCCGAGTCGTTCTGTGTCGGCTCCGAGGCCCCGTAATAAGGGCCCCCTATGGAGGCCGAGCATCGAGAAACACCTGCCGTCGTGATTTTTGATGACTCGAGGGGGGGGGGAGGAGGAGGAGGAGGAGGAGGAGGAGGAGGAGGAGGAGGAGGAGGAGGAGGAGGAGGAGGAGGAGGAGGAGGAGGAGGAGGAGGAGGAGGAGGAGGAGGAGGAGGAGGAGGAGGAGGAGGGGAGGGGGAGGGGAGGGGGAGGGGAAGGGAGAGGAGGAGGAGGAGGAGGAGGAGGAGGAGGAGGAGGAGGCGGGCGAGGGCCGACCCCGAGGGCACCGGCGGGGCGCGCAGGCGCCAGGCGCGGGGCCTCGCCCGCCCGCGTGCGAGCGGGGGGCGGCACCCCGCGGGCTCCACGGGGGAGAGGGCGCGCGAGCTGGGCTCACGGCCTGCGGGGTCAGGGGCGGCCCGCCCGGAGGCCGAGAGTGGCCAAGGGCCTCCCGTCGCGACGGCGCCACGACGCGAGGGGGTCTGGGTCCTCCCTCCTCCTGCCAGTGATTGAGCTCTTCCCTGGTGCCCCCTGGGCCGTCCCGGACTGGCGCCAGAGCCGCAGGAGGCAGCTGCAGCCTGCAGCTCAAGCGCCCGAGGGCCGTGCACCAGGTCGGGCACGAGGGCGACGAGGAGGAGGAGGAGGAGGAGGAGGAGGAGGAGGAGGAGGAGGAGGAGGAGGAGGAGGAGGAGGAGGAGGAGGAGGGGGAGGAGGAGGAGGAGGAGGAGGAGGAGGAGGAGGAGAGGAGGCAGGAGGGCCGAGCGGCTGGCCCCCTTCCCAGACCTGCTCGCGTGCTCGCGCCGCGGACAAAACTCGCGACGGGAGGCGCTTCCTCCTCCTCCTCTCCTCCTCCTCCCTCCTCCTCCTCCTCCTCATCCCTCCTCCTCCTCCTCCTCCTCCTCCTCCTCCTCCTCCTCCCTCCTCCTTCCTGGTGTCTGGCAAGTTCTGGCGTCTGGGGCACGCCGTCGCCGTCGAGGGCGCCGCCGAACCCGAAAGCGTCGGGGTCGTCGTCGCCAGGGCAGTCGCCACGTCTATGGTCGGGAGCGGCCGAGAGGGGGGTGTCCAAGAGGGGGGGTGCAAGTCATGGCCGGCGGCATGTGCGCGGCCCAGGGGGGGGGGGGGGGCAAGGGACAGAATAAAATAAGAAGGGGCACCATGAAATCCGGGCCCACGCCATGAAATCCCCCCCCCCCCCCGAGTCATCACCCCCCTCTTTGCCGCTCCCGATATGGACACCCCCCTTGCCCGTCCGCCCGCCGGGCCCGGCGTGCGCACCTGCCCCCCTCCGGCGCCGTGGGGCGCTCGGCGTCGTGCGTGCGCGAGGCCCTCGGCGCCCGCCCCGCGGGCCCCTGCGACGGCCGCGACGTGGAGGGCAGCCTCTGGGCCGCGCCCCGCGGCGGTCGCGCGGAGGCTCGGGCGGGCGTCTGCGAGGCACTGCCTGCGGACGGCGCACGGGGCCTCTCTCTGCGCAGCGCGGCCTGGGGCCCCAGCGCGCGGCCAGAGCGCCGCGAGCGCCACGAGCGCCCAGGAGCAGAGCCAGGTTCTGCCCTGCGGGCCAGACGTGGAGGGATTGGCTCCTCTGTCATATGGCCTGGGCTGTTTTTGCAGCTTTAACTGCGAGGCCCCAACCAGGGAATTAGAAATACGCTGAACCCAAAAAGGTTGTCATCTCTTGAGGGGCATGTCTCACTTCCGCCGGCTTCCGCCGGCCTTCCGCCAGCGGAGCCGACCTCGTTTTACTTCCGCCGCTGCCTTCCGCCGAGGAAGAGACGGCAACTCCTTTGATCCTCCAAGACGAGGCCGTTCCTGGATCGCCTCATAATGGATGGGGAAGAACACGGGAATTATGACCAAGACTGAACGCGGAAACGTCCTGCCAGTCTTGGTCACCGTCGGTCTCGATCAGCATCAACTCGTGGATCATCCTAGCGAATGGGCGACGGCCGATATGGACCATGACCGGGGTCGACATCGACACAGGAGCTTGGTCATGGCTCCCCCTCGCCATCGCTCGGACGTCCATTCCCCGGGCATGCTTCGATTTCGTGCACTTACTGTGTCGCACGATGATCCTAGATGCCCCTCGACGGCCCTCCCGGGGAAAAAACACGCACGCGTCCGAGCGATGCCCAAGACATGTGTAGCTGACGCCCTCCGACCCCCGCGCCCGTCTCCGCGCCCAGGCTGAGGCCCTCCCTCGTGGGCGACGGCGGCGGCGCGCAGGCACGCGCCGACGAGCTCTTGCTGCAGGGCGGCGAGCTCTGTATGTGTTAACCACGGCTCCCTGGCCGGGCCCGTTCCGAGCCCAGCAGCGGTGTGTGCGCCACGCCCGCCTGGCTTGGCCAGGAGGGCGTATACACAGCTCCTGGGCTCAGGCTGGGCCTGGCCAGGGAGCGGTGGGTACATCTTCAGAGCTCGTCGCCCGGCCTTCGCGGGCTGCGCTCTCGGCGGCGCGCCGTGCCCTGGGAGCTGCGCGTCCTGCCCGTGCTGGGCCTTGACGATGGCCCCGGCCCGCCACCGGGGATACAAAGAATGACATACATGTTGTTTCGCCGGCGGCGAGGCAGAGGCAGTCCGCTCCAGCATGTGGCTATTCGGGGCAGCCGAAAAGCGAATGGTCCGGCGTGCACGAGGGGGGAAAAGGACAGGGGCGGCCGCGCGTGGGGAGGGGGAGGGGAGAGCGCTCAGACGTGGAAGAGTTCCGCGTAGAGCAGGCCGGTGCGGCCAGCCGAGGCTGACCACAATGACATACACACAAAGACTTGGAGATTCGCGCGGATTTCTCAGATCAGCGCTGGCCCCCTGGCGGCGCCTCCGGAGCCGCCCCAGCTGCAGCGGCGCTCCGCGCGCCAGGGTGGTGGGGTCTAGCGCCGATCCGAGAGATCCGCGCGGACCTCCGAGTGTTTGATTATGTCATTGCTTTTTCCCCGGTGCCACCTTGCCCAGGTGGATCTTTGGCCAAAGAACTGGTCGAAGCGTTCCGTCTCAATAATGGGCGCCTCCAACTTGAGGGCCGTGGGAGCTCCAGAGTGGCTGACGCCGACAAACGTGGTGCTCAGGCTCCGTTGCATGTGGCCTATGGTGAAGGACGGGGAGCATGCTCCAGACGTGTGGATATAGCTTGTGTGGCCCTGGTGGGCAGGCAGGTGGGACGCCAACGATGTAGATTTCAGTGACCAGGTGGTCAAACAGATCTGTCCGTCGAGGGCCACACCAGCACGGGGTGGCAGCTCCATGTGCGCCTACTCGACCTTGATGGTGCGCGCCTTCTCGACCTGGATGGCCAGGCGGACACTCACGTCACCGATGGTGACATGCGGACGGCCCCAAAGCACGTAGCATGGGTCGACCGTGCTCTCCAGGGCCGACGAGAAGGAAAGAGGAGGTAGGTGGAGAAATGCGGGTGGAGGGAGCAGGAGGAGGAGGAAGAGGAAGGATCGAGGAAGGAGGACGAGAAGAAAATAGAACCGTCGACGAGGAAAAATAGAGGAGGGAGGGACGAGGAGGATGAAGGAAGTAGGAGGAGGAAGGATCAGTCGAGGAGGGCGGCCGCGAAGAAAGAAGGAGGGGCCCCAAGTTCCCGGGGGCGTCACCTGACCACGTCGCCGATCCTGGGCCCGGCATGTGTGCAGCCCGTGTCGGCGAGGTGGTCGGCTGACGTCCCCCGAAAGTTTCGTCGGCCGTCCTTCAGCCTGCCCACAACGGGGTACTTGCCCGTGTCCACTGGCCACATCATGGGCAGGCGTGGGGAGGGGGCTTCGGCGGCCACGGAACCTCTTCCATCTCCTTCTCCTCCTCCTTCCTCCTTCCTCCTTCCTCCTTCCTCCCTCCTCCTTCCTCCTCCCTCCTCCTCCACCATGTTCCTCATAAACACTTCCCCTCTGTCGCACCCCCAGGCGTGTTGGTAGGGCGGGCTGGGCGTTTCGCCTGAGACACCCCCACCACTTCTGATCTTGAAGCTTGAAATATGTACCAGCTTCAAGGCTTGAGGGCAAGTCGTTGTTTACATGGAGTTCTCGCCTCGGCACAACGGACATTCGTAATGCAAGTTAGCAACATGTTCAAGGATGCAGAGCGGGTGGTTTTCGAAATGGGGTTCTCTTCCTGGCGCCGCGCTTACTCGTCTTAAACATCTGCCACAGTATCAAAAATGGAGTGGGCATCGTTTCAAATGTGGTTTCCGCTTTAGCGCCGCGCCCGTTCGTAAACTCGGTACCAGCTTCAAGTATGGAGGGCGGTTACAAATCAAAGTGTGGCTCACGCCTTGGCGCAGCGCACACTCGTTTTAAACATCTGTTACGGTTTCAGGGATCAAGGGGAGCGGTTCCAAAATCTGGCTCTCGCCTCAGCGCCGCGCACATTCGTCTGAAAAGATTGCAATTGCTTCAAGGATGGACTAAGCGTCGTTTTCAAAATAACTAGGGATATCGCCTCAGCGCCACGCACACTCGTCTTAAAAACAACAGGTGTTCTCGCTTTAGCGCTGCGTGCACTCGTGCAAACATGCTGCAACAGCTTCAATAATGGAGACATGTCCGTTTCAAAGCAGCGCTCTCGCCTGAGAGCCGCGCGCATTCGTCTCAAGTCTATGCAAGTGGTTCAAGTAGTGTGCCAAGGTCGTTTTCAACCTGACATTGCCACGAACCCCGAACTTGGAGGACAATTGGGCGTGACTTGCGAGAAAGAGGAAAACACAGAAGAGGATGTCTATGGAGGGCATTACGTTGGTTCCCGTGGTGTTCGGTCGACGTTGTGACGCTTTGTCTGGGGTGTCTAGACATCCTGGGGCCCTCGTGGGCAGTCTGGGCGCCCTCTTGGACACCTCTCGGGCCCGTAGCAATTGTAGTAGTCGTAGTACGACTAGTAGTGGTACTGCTACTACGACCACCAATATAGGCAGTAGTAGTAGTAGTAGTAGTAGTAGTAGTAGTAGTAGTAGTAGTAGTAGTAGTAGGTAGTAGGTAGTAGGTAGTAGGTAGTAGGTAGTAGGTAGTAGGTAGTAGGTAGTAGGTAGTAGGTAGTAGGTAGTAGGTAGTAGGTAGGTAGTAGGTAGTAGGTAGTAGTAGTAGTAGTAGTAGTAGTAGTAGTAGTAGTAGTAGTAGTAGTAGTAGTAGGTAGTAGGTAGTAGTAGTAGTAGTAGTAGTAGTAGTAGTAGTAGTAGTAGTAGGTAGTAGGTAGTAGTAGTAGTAGTAGTAGTAGTAGTAGTAGTAGTAGGTAGTAGGTAGTAGGTAGTAGGTAGTAGGTAGTAGGTAGTAGGTAGTAGGTAGTAGGTAGTAGGTAGTAGGTAGTAGGTAGTAGGTAGTAGGTAGTAGGTAGTAGGTAGTAGGTAGTAGGTAGTAGGTAGTAGGTAGTAGGTAGTAGGTAGTAGGTAGTAGGTAGTAGGTAGTAGGTAGTAGTAGGTAGTAGGTAGTAGTAGTAGTAGTAGTAGTAGTAGTAGTAGTAGTAGTAGTAGTAGTAGTAGTAGTAGTAGTAGTAGTAGTAGTAGTAGTAGTAGTAGTAGTAGTAGTAGTAGTAGTAGTAGTAGTAGTAGTAGTAGTAGTAGTAGTAGTAGTAGTAGTAGTAGTAGTAGTAGTAGTAGGTAGTAGTAGTAGTAGTAGTAGTAGTTAGTAGTTAGTAGTAGTAGTAGTAGTAGTAGTAGTAGTAGTAGTAGTAGTAGTAGTAGTAGTAGTAGTAGTAGTAGTAGTAGTAGTAGTAGTAGTAGTAGTAGTAGTAGTAGTAGTTAGTAGTGTAGTAGTAGTAGCAGCAGCAGCAGCAGTAGTAGTAGTAGTACTAGTAGTAGTAGTAGTAGTAGTAGTAGTAGTAGTAGTAGTAGTAGTAGTAGTAGTAGTACGAGTAGTATGAAACACACTAGTAGCTGCAGTGGTAGTAGGTGCACTGTAGTAGTAGCAGTAGTTGTAGTAGTAGTAGTAGTAGTAGTAGTAGTAGTAGTAGTAGTAGTAGTAACAATAACCGTCGCATTAGTAGTAGCAGTAGTAGTAGTAGCAGTAGTAGTAGTAGTAGTAGTAGTAGTGGCACGAGAAGCAATAGTACTAGCAGTCGCAGTAGTAGTCGAAATAGCAGTACTAGGAATAGTAATAGTGGTAGTGCTAGTGCTAGTGGTAGTGGTAGTGGTAGTGATAGTGGTAGTGGTAGTGGCAGTGGCAGTGGTAGTGGTAGTGGTAGTGGTAGTGGTAGTGGTAGTAGTGGCAGTAGTGTTAGTGCTAGTGGGAATGGAAATGGGAATAATGGCAGTGCTAGTGGAAGGGGAAACGGAAGGCAGAGGAGGGAGGAGGAAGAGGAGGAGGAGAGGGTGTGCTGGGAAAACAAGAACCCCACTCAGGATGGGTCGCTTTCAAAATATGGCTCTCGCCGTGGCGCCGCGCACGTTCGTTTGAGAAGCTTGCAGCTGGCTCGCTGATGAAAGGTGGGTGGCTTTCAGAATGCAGTTCTCGCCTTCGCCGCGCGCACGCGTGTCTGTTAAAACGTGCAACACTATAATGGGCAGAGGGCGGGTCGCTTTCAAAATATTGCTCTCGCCTTGGCGCCGCGCACGTTAGTTTTAAAAGTTTGCAGCTGGTTCGCTGATGGAAGGCGGGTGGTTTGCAAAATGCTGTCATCGCCCTGGCGCCGCGCACGTTCGCCTGAAAGTTTGCAACATCTTCAATGATGCAGGGTGGCTCTTGTTCAAACTATGTTTCTCGAAATTCGTTTTCGAAATTCGCCAGAGTGCCAAGGAGTCGCATGGTCGAAATTCCAGGAACGTGCCCTGGCAAGATTTAGGGTTGGTAGAACGCAACAGTCACGTTGATGTGCGGTGTTGAAGTCCCACAAATGGTGTCTGACATGGTTTAATATTGTCAGGACGTAACAGTCACGTTGGTTCGCGACGCTGACGTCAGGGGAATTGTGAGTTGGCACGGTTGGAATTTCGCAGACGGTTGTCTTCACATGGGCCATTTCCCGCAATGAGCATGAATGCGTTTAGGGCCCTATGACGAGGGAACGTGGAGGTAAATCCTAAACCCTACACCCTGAACCCTAAACCCTCAAGGCGAAAAACATATGGATTGAGGGTCTGCGAAACCAGAAGTCTGCATAGTGAAACCTGTTACGGGAGCCGTCAGAAGCGCTGCGGGCCCCCAGACCCTGCTACGCTTAAGTCGGGCATGTCCCCCTACAGGGGGATTTTCCGACGAAGAATAAAGAATACGCAAAAAACTCCACCATGGTTTTCAAAATACTTACAAAATAGTCCCCAGGCTATGTTTTTACTATTTTGAATTGTCCCCCTGTAGAGGGACAGGCCCGAATTGACCCTACTACGGTGCGTACACCCCCCTCCTCCTCCTTTTCACGCCCCTCGGCCAGGGGGGGCCGCGGCGGCGGCCAGACTGCCCCAGGCGGCCCAGATAGTGCTTGTACCATCCTGCCGCCGCGCAGCACGTCGCTGCCCCCGCCGCCGTCGTCGGATGGCACCGCCATCGTCAGATGGCATCGCCGTCGTCGCTGTTGTGGTGGTCACCATGACGGCGGCGTCGTCGTCGGAGGGGGAGGAGGAGGAGAAGAGGAGGAGGAGGAGGAGGAGGGGGAGGAGGAGGAGGAAGAGGATGAGGAAAAAGAGGAGGTGGAGGAGAAGGAGGACGACGACGACGACGTGGGGGAAGAGGAGGACGAGGAGGAGGAGGGGGCGGAAGGAGGAGAATGGGGAGGACGAGGAGGAGGACGAGGATGGGGACGAGGACGAGGAGGAGGATGAGGAGGAGGAGGAGGAGGAGGGAGAGGAGGGGGAAGGAGGGAAGGAGGGGACGAGGAGGCGGAGGTGGACAAAGAGAGAGAGAGAAGAGCGGAAGACGATTTTGGAGGCCTGCCCGAGCTCGAAGGGGAGGAAAACGGGGAGGTGGAGAAAGAATAGGACCAGCAGGAGGAAAGGAGGAAGAGAGGAGAAAAAGATGAGGAGGTACCGTCCTGCTGACTACCTACCAGACCACCCCAACCCAACCCGAAGACCCGAATTTGACCCGAATTTCGGGTTGGGGGGGGTACGGATACCATGTGTTGTTTCAACGTTCCCCGACCCCCCCCACTGGAAATCGAGGATAAATTGAGGCCTTCGGGTTGGGTTGGGGTGGTTTGGTGGGTGGTGACCTGCCAGAGCGCTGAAGGAGCCCTCGTTCAGATCCTCCAGCTTCCAGTCAAAGCGGCCGACGTCCTCCGCCTTCGGGGCCGCCGTCCTCGTCGTCGGCGTCGGCGTTCTCACCACCCTCCCCTCCCTTTCGCCCCTCCCCCCTCCCCTCCCTCTTTCCTCTTCTTCCTCGTTCTCCTCGTCATCATCATTGTCCTCCTCATCAGCATCCTCAGACTCACGCCTCCTCCTCCTCCTCCTTCTCCTCCACATCGGCATCCGCTTCGTAGTCTCATCCTTCCTCCTACGAGGGTCGAGCTCGCGGAGAAGCGGCGACACAGAGAGAAGCGAGGGCATTTGGCCAGGGCAGGCAGTCATGCCAGCTGCCAGGCCGCGGCTGCAGCAGCGCAAGAGGTGCTGGGAGCGGCTGCCCAGGGCTGCAATACCTCCTCCACGCCCGAGCCCCCGATGCCGCTGCAGCCGCCGCCGCGTCCGGTGCTGCCCCCCCGTCCCCTCCTCCGCGTCCCAGCAGACCGCGAGCGGACTTTCACCCGGAGATCCTGGATGTGCTGCAAGCGCATGCGGTGATCCAAGCAAAGGGGCCCTGTCAACCCCTGTGGCAGCCGCCCGAGACCCAGCAGGGTTGACCTTCCTTGGGGTCTTCCCGGCGGCGCGGCTCACGGATGTCCACCTGTCGGCTTCGTGCGAGTACTCCTGTTCGCTCGATGGCCCCGGAATGCTCCTCGATGCTCCTTGCCGAAACAAAATGCACACCTCCGAGCGGTGCCAGGCACCTGTGTCGTGTGAGTATTTCTGTTCGCTCGATGGCCCCAGAATGCTGCTCGATGCTCCTTGCCGACACAAAACGCGCACGTCCCAGCGATGCCAGGCTGCTGCGTTGTCCAAGGAGTGCACGGCGGATGTTCCCTCCCCTCACGCCCGCTCCCAAGTGGCGGCCGCTGCAGCGTGAGGGCATCCACCGAGACCGCTGGCGAGGGTCGGCCCGTGTGCTCTCTCTCTCTCTCTGGAGTACTGCCGGCGTCGATGTCCACCGGCCCGCTGGAGCTCCCTTGTGGGCATTGAAGGGAACGAAACATGACATAAACATAAACGCTCGGGGGTCCGCGCAGATTTCTCGGATCGGCACCGGGGCCCCCTGGCGGCGCCTCCGGCGCCGCCCCTGGCGCGCTCCGCGCGCCAGGGAGGGGGGTCAAGCGCGGATCCGAGAAATCCGCGCGGACCCCCGAGCTTTTATGTTTATGTCATGTTTCGTTCCCCGAAGTCGGCCCGTACCATAAGCATGCGCGACAAGGATGCAAGGGCCTTGGGAGGCCACTTCGAAGCGTTTCGAGCGGGGCGCGGTCAACTAAAGTGGCCAAGTATGACCCGAGGAGGCAAGGATGCAAGGGCACCCTTGGCAAAGTCGCTCATCTTTACCATGCGGGTCGACTGCACCGAGCGCCCCTAACACGTGTGAGAACGAGCTATCCCACATAGTTGACTGTGGACAAAGACGTGTGGCTCCTGGAGGACATCGCAGGCTCCCCAAAAATGAATGGGGGGCACCTGCTGTCTGGGACAAGAAAAGACCATGGAGGGCACGGGCAAACGGAACTTTGGAAACCCATTCTCCAGACAGCGCATGACGCGTCCGAGAGGGAGAACTGGCGACCCCCTGCACGCGCCTCGCCCGCGAGGGCCAGGGCTCGCACGAAGCAGCCGAGAAGTAGGGATGAACATCGTGTCATCATCTTTTGGCGGAGGGGGGGGGAGGCTTCTCTCTCTCTCTCTCTCTCTCGCCCAGAGAGAGAGAGAGATTCTCCTCTTCCTATATTCTTATAAGCCGGGGCGGGGGGGACCCCCCCCTTTTTTTTTACAAAAAAAAAAAAAAAAAAAAAAAGGACTCCCGGGACCTGGGGCTTTGGGACCCTCCGGACGGGCCTCGAAGCCGCCCCCCGGGCCTCGCAGGGCGTTTTGCCAAGCCTTCCCAGCACACCTAGGGCGATCAGGGGGGTCATCGGAGACGTCCCAGAGACCCCCAAGACAGCACAAGAGCGCTCCAAGAGTGACCGACGTGACCTCAAGATGGCCCAAGAGGCCTCCAGGACGGCCGCAAAGGCCTCAAGAAGCCTCCGAGAGCACTCCCAAGAAGGCCCCGAGAGGCAAAAATCATTGATTGTCTACGGCTTTTGGAGTGAATTTTGGGGTCATCCTCTTTTCGACTTCCCGGCGCTCCGATGCGGCAGTCTTCTGGGCGTCCGAAGCCGCCTGGGAGGCTTCAAAATCGCCCCACGGCCATCCGAAAGGGCTTCCAGGCAGTCCAAGAGGAGCCCCAAAACGGCACAGCAGGGGTCAAAGATGGCCCTAAGAGAGCCCCATGGCGGCACAAGACGGCCCCAAGACACCCTCCGAAGCATTCCAAATCGTGACCCGGTCGTTCAGGGAGACCGCGGTTGGAGGCAGGGTGGCCCGAGGAAGCCCCCAGAACCTCCAGAACATGCCCGGGAGGCCTCCAAAAGCCCTTAAGAAAGCCTGAAACTTTCGCGAGGCCCCCAGAGACTCTCCAAGGAGGAGCCTCCACAAAAGAGCTGAGGAGGGAAAAATGCGCAGGGTATGGCGAGAACGAGGAAAAAGAAGCATGGAGGAAGGATAACGAATAACATCATTTTAGCGGCGATGCTGGAAAAGGCAACAAGGAGTTATCGCTAAATTGTCGGCTTGACCATCCTGCCATTCCGCCTGCATACCAAACTTCAAGGACCAAGGTGCATGGCGCGAAGTGCCACTGCAGTCTTGTGTATATATAGAGAGAAAGAGAGAGTGAGATATAGATATAGACATTCCTTGTTCCCCTCTCTCTCTCTCGCTCTCTCTTTCTTTCTATTTCTCTCTCTCTCTCTCTCTCTCTCTCTCTATATATATATCGTTTTCTCTCTCTCTTTCTCTCTCTTGTTCTGCTTCTCTCGCTCGCCGCGATATAGATTAGATGATGTATGTTTTCACCTCGACGGCTGACGACGACGACGACGACGACGACGACGACGACGACGACGACGACGATGACGACGACAACGACGACGACGACGACAGGCGGTCCAAACAGGCCGCAGTCAGATACAGTGGGAGCCCCTGGCAGGCGAGACGCCTGCCGACTGCGTCAGGCGGCTCCAGCACGAAGCAGGGTCCATGTTCGCTGGTGGGTGGCACGCCCTCTGCGCGACGCAGGAGAAGGGTCCCAACTTTGACCCACGGAGGCGCATGGGGGCCCACTGCCGGGTGTCTCTCCGAGATGCAGCCGGTACACCGGCGCAGCTGCCGCCTCAGTCCCCGCCGGCGGGGCTGGCCGCGCCAACGCACCCAGGGACGTGATCCGTCCGCCCCCGAGTGGCCTTCACCTTGCCTCCCTCTCTCTGCGGCCGCCTCCTCTGTCCCATTTTTCCCGCTCTTGCATGTGAGCCAATTCGCTAAAGCCATACCCTCGTTTAGTCAGCTCCTTTCGCCAGCGCAGACGACCCCTGCCTAGCCGCCGACGCAGAAAGTTCCTCCGAGATGTGCAGAAAGCGTCTGTGCAGCACCGCCATGCCTGGCCAGGGCCATCCTGGACCCCTCGATAGAGACCTTCCTGGCCTCGGCAAGGAAGAGGGCGCACGACACCTGCACCGCAGCTGACAGAGCTCGCTCGCTGTCCCTCGGGAGCGGCCAAGAGGGGGGTGTCCAAGAGGGAGGCGTGCAAATCATTACCGGCGGCATGTGCGCGGCCCAGCGGGGGGGCCAGGGACGTAATGAAATAAGAAGAGGCGCCATGAAATCTGGGGAAACATCATGGCCCCCGCCATGATATCCACCCCCACCTAGTCATCACCCCCCTCTTTGCCGCCCCCAAGTCCCCTTCCTCGGATGTCCTCGAGCCGGGCTCGGACTCCGCAGTCAGGTCCCGCCTCCACCTGGTCTGAACTGGCTCCGCTGCGCTCTGGGGTGCTTTGCTACGACTTGTGGCCACGTCTCGCGACCCCCTCTGGAGACTAGGGCCGCCAGCACCACGCGTGAACGGCTGCACGCTCTCAGAGCGGCTCCTTCCTTTGTCTCCCGCCGCGGCCGTTCACCTCCTCTTCCATTAGCTCTGGTGCGCAACTAACTCTGCTGTGCTCCAGATAGTGCTGTCCGACGCTTCGTTTCTGGTGGCTCTCAATATGGATCCTCCTCCTCCTCCTCCTCCTCCTCCTGCTCCTGCTCCTCCTCCTCCTCCTTATCCACCTCCTCCTCCTCGCCTCCTCCTCCTCCTCGCCTCCTCATCCCCTCCCTCTCCCGCTCCCTTCTCCCTCCTCCCCCTCCCTGACCCTTTCCACTCCCCCCACCCCTCCCCATGCCCCTTTCCCCTCCAACTCCTCATCCTCCTCCTCCCTCCTACCTCCTCCTCCTCCCCTCACTCCTCCTCCTCCTCCTCCTCCTCCTCCTCCTCCTCCTCCTCCTCCCCTCCCCCCTCCTCCCTCCTCCCTCCTCCCCTCCTCCTCTCCTCCCATCCTCCCTCCTCCCTCCGCCCTCCTCGCCCTCCTCCCCCCCCCCTCCTCCAACTCAAATTCCTTCCTCCTCCCCTCCTCCTCCTCCCTCTCCTCCTCCTCCTCCTCCTCCCTTCCTCCTCCTTCCTCTCCCTCCTCCTCTCCTCCTCCTCCTCCTCCTCCTCCTCCTCCTCCTCCTCCTCCTCTCCTCATCCTCCTCCTCCTCGTCCTCCCCTCCTCCTCCTCCTCCTCCCCTCCTCCTCCTCCTCCATTTCTAACAGTCATCATCATCATCATCATCATCATCATCATCATCATCATCATCATCATCATCATCATCATCATCACATCATCATCATCATATCAGCATCATCATCATCATCATCATCATCATCATCATCATCATCATCATCATCATCATCATCATCATCATCATCATCATCATACATCATCATCATCATCATCATCATCATCATCATCATCATCATCATCATCATCATCATCATCATCATCATCATCATCATCATCATCATCATCATCATCATCATCATCATCAGCATCATCATCATCACATCATCATCATTATCATCATCAATATCATCATCATCATCGTCATCGTCATCGTCATCGTCATCGTCATCATCATCATCACTATCATCATCAGCAGCAGCATCATCATCAGCAGCAGCATCATCAGCAGCAGCATCACCGGCATCATTATCGTAAGCATCATCACCATCAGCAGCAGCAGCATCACCATAATCAGCAGCATCAACATCAGCAGCATCATCATCAGCATGATCAGAATCATCATCATCAGCAGAATCAACCTAAGTATCAGAATCGTCATCGTCATCATCATCATAATAATCATCATCATCATCATCATCATCGGCATTCTCATCATCAGCATCATCATAAGCAGCATCGTCATCATCATCAGCATCATCATCGTCATCATCAGCGGCAGCATAATCAACATCAGCATCATCACTATCATCATCATCATCAGCACCAGCATCAGCATCAGCATCGTCCTCATCGTCCTCGTCCTCCTCATGGTCATCATCAGCATCGTCATCATCATCATCATCATCATCAGCATCAATCATCATCAACATCATCAGCATCATGCTCAGAAACCTCATCATCACCAATAATTACAACATCATCAGCATCAGCATCATAATCTTCATCATCAGCAGCAGCATCATCATCGTCATCAGCATCAGTATCAGCATCATCATCATCATCATCAGCATCATCATCATCATCATCATCAGCATCATCAGCATGATCATCGTCATCAGCAGCAGCAATAGCATCATTATCATCAGCATTAGCATCATTAGCAGCAGCAGCATTATCAGCATCATCATCAGCATCATCATCAGCATCGTCATCAGCATCATCATCAGCAGCATCAGCATCATCAGCATCAGCATCGTCAGCATCAGCATCATCATCATCAGCATCATCCTTATCATCAGCATCAGCATCATTATCAGCATCACCATCGTAATCATCAGCATCCTCATCCTCAACATCATCAGCATCATCAACATACTGCTCATGATGCTCCTCCTCCTCCTCCTTCTCCTCCCTATCCTTCTTCTCCTCTTCCACCGAGGGCCTCCTTCTTATCCTACTTCTTCTTCTTATCCTCTCCCTATCCTCCTTATCCTCCTTCTTCTTCTTCCTCTCCTATCCTTCTTCTTATCCTCTCCCTATCCTCCCTATACTCCTCCCTGCCGGCCTTGAGGGACGTTTTGGCCATGGCCCAGGTGCAGTCCCTCCCGCCCCAGAGCTTGCCGTAGCCGTGGCCCGGTCTGAAGTTCTGGCTGGAGGACACGTCGACCACGACCCCGCAGACGCCCAAACACATCGGGAGGTCCACGCCGTTCCTATCGGGCCTCTCCTCCTGCTCCTCGTCATGGTTGTATAACCACGATCATCACAACTATCACCACCACCACCACCACCACCACCACCATCATCATCATCATCATCATCATCATCATCAGCAGCAGCAGCAGCAGCAGCGTCGCAATCGTCATCATCATAAGCATCATCAGCCGCAGCATCATCAGCATCGTCAGCAGCATCATCAGCATCAGCATCATCATCAGCAGCAGCATCATCACTATCGTCGTCATCCTCATCATCATCATCATCATCATCAGCATCATCATCAGCATCATCATCTGCATCATCAGCATTATCACCACCACCATCATCAGCATCACCATCATCATCATGATCAGCAGCATCATCTGCAGCATCAGTATTACCAGCATCACCATGGTTATCATCATTACCAACATCATATTCGTCCGTCGTCGTCGTCGTTGTCGTCGTCGTTGTCGTCGTCGTCATGTGCATCATAAACACTCCTCGCCCACTCCATGCTCCTCGTTCATGATGAAGATCATGGCGACGACGGCGACAACGACAACGACGACGACGATGATAATGGTCCGTCCTTCATGTTCTTCCTCATGTTCCTCCTCCGCCACCCATCAACCCTCATCCTTCCTCATGTTCCTCATCCCTCTTCCCTCATCCTTCCTCGCGTCCTCCTTCCTTCTCCCTCCTTCACGTTCCTGCTCCTCGCGTCCTCGCCCTGCTCGCTCTTCCCTTGCCCCTCGTCGTCCTCCTACTGCTCATCTGCCCACTCTCTCTCTCTCTCTCTCTTTTTTCATTTCGCTTCGCTGGAGCGGGCCGCGACTCACTACCACACGATCCTAAACAAGCAGACAAGACAGGACTGGGGGACGCACTGGTGCTCCAAAGAATCCGAATCCGAGCCTGCAGCCGCTACACTCCCCTGGCGACATCACCATCCTGATCAGACTATGGTCATCGGAATCACCAGCTTCGTCGTCGTTATCATCATCATGGTCGTCATCAGCAGCAGCAGCATCATCAGCAGCATCAGCATCATCAACATCATCAGCATCATCGGACGGACGGACGACGATGCCCGCGCCCGCGTGCCACGACACGCGGCCGCGCGCCTTGAAGGCGACGGCGGGGGCGCCGGAGCGCCAGAAAATGATGCAGCCTGCTCTCACTTCTTGATCAACGATAATATGCTTCATTTGATTGATCGATCCACATGATTAATGCAATCATTGTGTCGGGGCGCCTGTCGCCGCAGAAACTTGTTTGGAAATTGAAATCAACCATGAAATATGCGAATACGTATCGAAATCATCCGGCGCCTTCCGGTCGCAACGCCGAAACTGCTCTGAAAATCCTTAGGTGAGTATCTGAATTGCTCAGAGGGTCTCCCGTCCCGCCATCAAACAAGTCGTACGCTCTCTGCCACAGATGTGTCCGATGCATGTTACCATAATGCTTTCCGAATTCATCCCTTGATAAAGCAGTTTTCGGCCACTGCAGGCACGCAGAAAATAAATTGCTATACCTGTACAGCAGGTGCACGTATTTCCCATAGCAAGCGAGATTATTATTTCTTGTGCGCCCAAGAATGAAAACAACATCCTTGCAATGATTTGACATCAATCGTCGCATTGAGTTCTGGCGTGCCAAAGTTTTTGAAAACGCTTCCCACACTCCAGAATAACAGATCGCATCCGAATCATACTCCACCGGCACCGATATTCCCATCCAGGGGCCCTCAGTGTGCCGCACAAGAACTAGCATCACCATCATCGCTGTGATGGCTCTGATTTCCCAGGCCTTCTGACTCAAAATGTTTCTGCCCAGTGCCTTATTGCAGTGTCGTAGAGATCAACATGTCAATCCGATCCATCTTGTTAGAAAGTAAGTCAACTTTGCTGGCGAGCGATGGTGATTCTGATGGTTGCGGCCGTCCATGCGATGCAGAAACTGACTCTCTGCTGTCAACGGTGCACTGTGTTTTGAAGCATGAACTGACAGCCCGCCACCTGGTTCTATGTGCAAAGCATGCTGTTGAAATTACAGTTCATTTGCTCAATGTGTTTAGTGACATCTGAAATCTTATGACACAGAAGTGCAACAGAAGAAAGTGCTGATCCTTGTTGGGCGATATGCGAATCAAGTGATTCCAACTGAGCTAGTATGCATTTAGCCATGTTACGCCTATCTCGACGACGTTGAGTGTCGGACCGGACCTGCTCGCGAGCAGCATTCCTTTGCAGCTTCCAATCAGCTGCCCATCGCTGAGGTGGCATTACGGTAAACGCGACTCTGCAAATTCACGTGGGGCCTGCTATCCTTGGCCTTGAGCCAAAATGGCATGAGCCGAAATGGCTCAAGCCATCATCATCATCATCATCATCATCATCATCATCATCATCATCATCATCATCATCGTCATCATCATCATCATCATCATCATCATCATCATCATCATGATCATCATCATCATCATCATCATCATCATCATCATCATCATCATAATCAACATGATCATCATCATCATCATCATCATCCTCATCATCGTCAGCGTCATCATCATCGTCATCATCATCGTCATCAGCATCGCCATCATCAGCATCGGCAGCACCACCATGCGCATCGTCGTCCTAATCAGCATCCTCATCATCATCATCATCATCAGCATCAACATCATCATCAGCAGCATCATCATCATCAGCAGCATCATCATCGTCGTCATCGTTATCGTCATCATCATCAGCATCATAATCATCATCATCGGCGTCAGCATCATCAGCAGCATCATTATCATCCATCGTTGTCGTGATCAGCATCATCACCATCATCAGCAGCATCGGCATCATCATCATCATCATCATCACCATCATCATCATCCTCGTCGGCATCATCATCACCCTCATCACTGCCACCATCGTCGATAACAGCAGTGGCATCATCATCACCATCATCACCATAACCATCGCCATTACGATCGGCATCTTCAGCATCGCCACCACTATCATCAACGGTTTGTCCATCCCATCATCACTAGCATCCTCATAAGCATCATCATCATCTCTCTCTGACAGCATCATCAACATCATCATCATCATTATCAGCATCATCAGCAGCATCATCACCTTCGTCACCATGGTCATCATCATCATCAGCATCATCATCGTCATTATCATCACCAGTATCATCATCATCAGCATAATCAGCAACATCATCATCAGTATGATCAGCATGATCATCATCATCATCCTCGGCATCATCAACGCCATCAGCATCATCAGCATCAGCACCATCATCCCGTCGTCATGATCATCAGCAGTATCATCAGCATCATCAGCATCATCATCGGCATCATCAGCAGCAGCATCGTCAGCAGCAGCATCAGCATCAGCATCATCAGCATCATCTTCGTCATCATCAGCATCAGCATCAACATCAGCATCATTATTCTCTTCCTCATCATCATCATCATCATCATCAGCATCATCACCATCATCATCATCCATGTCGGCGTCGCCGTCGTTGCCGTTGGCCTCAGCATCAGGATCAGCATCAGCATCATCATCAGTATCATCATCGGTATGAGCATCACATTGGCAGCATTATCAGCAGCAGCACCATCAGCATCATCATCATCATCAGTATCGTCGTCATCATCAGCATCAACGGCCGCATCCTCATCATCAGCAGCATCTTCATCATCAGCAGCAGCTTCATCATATTCAGCGTCATTGTCATGGTCGTCGTCGTCAGCAGCATCGGCATCATCAGATTCGTCGTTCTCATCGGCATCAGAATCGTCATCGTCATCATCACCATCACCAGCATCGACAGCATCACTACCACTACCATCAGCAACATCACAATCACCATCAGCATCATCATCATCGTCATCATCATCATCATCATCTGCATCATCATCGTCACCGTTTACCACCATTACCCGCAAAATCATCACCACCATAATCGTCAACAGCAACATCGTCAAATCACCAGAAGCATCCTCCTCACCATGATCGTGGTCGTCACCATCAGCACCATATCCGTCGTCATCACCATCACAATCAGCATAAGCATCAGCATCGTCATCGTCATCACCATTATCATAAACAGCATCAACAGTACCATCATCATCGTCATCATCATCAGCATCATCATGGTCATCCTCATCATCACCACCATCATCATCAACATCATCAGCAGCATCGTCGTCATCGTCACCGCAACCATCAACCATGATTTCTCGCATCCTCATCATCAACATCATCTTCCAATTTCTCACCATTAGCAGTCCATTCATCCATCCGCCCATCCTCCATCCTCAACGATGCATCCTCCATTCATCATCCCTCGTGGCTCCCCCTCTCAACTCCTTCCCCTCTCCCCTGCTCCGCATCCTCCTCATCCTCCTCTTCCTCCCCATCCTCTCCCCACTCCTCCTCCTCATCCTACTCCGTCGTGTCATCATCCTCACCATCCTCGACATCATCATCACCACCATCAGTATCATCATCATCATCATCATCATCATCATCATCATCATCATCAGCATCATCAGCATCATCATCATCATCATCAGCATCATCAGCATCATCATCAGCAGCAGCATCACCATCCTCATCCTCATTCCTCCTTTTCGTGCCAGTCTTCGAAGGCCGCGCACCGCGCCGTACAGGGCACAAGCGCCTTCGCGCTCCCGCACCGCCCCCCCCCCGCCCCCCCCCCCCCCTCCCCGTAGAGGAGCACCCGTCGGGCAGAAACCGCCAAAATGCGGCTGTCGGTAGTCGCACCCCCGCGGGGTGGCACAGACGGCAAGCAATCGCCTGGCGAGCTGGCACCACGACGAGCGTGATGACCACAAAGCCTCCGCCCCCCCGTCCCCATTCCACCTCCATTCTCGTGCTCATGAGCTCTGGAACAGATGTGCCACTCGAAACCTGCTCAAGCCTCATGGCACAAAGCTGAAGAATGCAGGACGACTGCACTGATAGAGGGTGGTCCCATTGTTCAAGATTGGCCGAACTATCGAGACCCTGTGACTACAGTCGGCCCGTATCATAAGCATGCGCGACAAGGATGCAAGAGCCGTGGACGCCCGTTTCGAAGCTTTTCGAGCGGGGCGCGGCAAACGAAAGTGGCGAAGGATGGACCGAGGAGGCAAGGATGCAAGGGTACCCTCGGGAAGGCTGCCCATCCTTACTATGCGGGTTGACTGTATGTCCAGAAACCACGCATGCCCCGACAGCTGCAGACATGAAGGGCTGCTCGCTTGCAACGTGGGGCTGCCGCGCGGCGGTACGTCCGTGAACGTCCTGGCCATACACCCCGACAGCGCGGACAGCGACAAGGAGAAAGGGCTGCTCACTTTCGAAGCGAGGCTCTTGCTTGAAAGGTGGGCCGTGGGGCGGCTATCGTTCCGGGGGACGTGCCCCCCGCAGTGGAAACGGATGTCTGGTCTGGGACGAGAATGTAGATTGCAGCATCACTAGTGAACCCCAGGGTTTATCTTGTCCCCCTCGATCCCCCTCCACCCACCCCTTCCTGTCACCCTCCTCCACATCCCCCCCCCACCGACCAGCCCCTCCCCCTCACGATCCTCCCCCTCCTCCTCCTCCTCCTCCTCCTCCTCCTCCTCCTCCTCCTCCTCCTCCTCCTCCTCCTCCTCCTCCTCCTCTACGTTCCTCGCCTCCGCCTCCGCCTCCGCGTCCGCCTCTGCCTCCGCCTCCACCTCAGCATCCTCCTCGTCCTCCTCATCCTCCTCCGCCTCCTCCTGATCTTCATCCTCATCCTCATCCTCATCCTCATTCTCCTCCCCATCCTCCTCATCCTCCTTATCCTCCTCGATCTTCCCAATACTATCCCACATCCTCGCCATAGCCCTTGCAGGCATTGCCATCCTCATCCTCCTCCTGCACCTCCTCCTCCTCCACCTCGGCGTTTTCCTCACATTCTTCGTCGTTTCGTCTTCGTCCCTGTCACTGTCCCATCCGCCGCAGCTCGTCGCAGCACCTCAGATCGCCATGGTCACCCGTCGTCGACGTCGCCACCGCCATCGGCGGGCTCCAGCGCCGCAGCTCGTCGACCGTGAACTCGCCGCCGGCTGGCAATAGCCCCCTGTGCCTGGCCTCGTCCCAGAACACTACGGCGGTGTCGTCCTCCTCGCGGCAGGCCCGCCGCGGTTTTCGCCGTCGCCGCCGACGCCATCATCTTCGTCGTTGCCGTCACCGTCGCCGTCGCCGTCGTCGTCGTCGCCGTCTGTTCTCTGTTTTCTGGAAGCATTACATCCTGTGTCGTCGCCAATTAACTGATTGGTCAGCCCGTCCCACACCGCTTTGCAAAAGATAGTGAGGCAGACTGCAGCCATCACAACAAACGCATCCTCATCACCCTCATCACCATCCCCACGTCAACACCATGGGTCGACGCTAGTCATTGCACACGTTGCTCGACTGCTCCTTGTGCACTAGCCGCTGGTCGTGGGAACCATCGGTTGGTTGACGAAGAGAACGTGCCGCGTGCTATGCTGCGTCGTGTCGCAACTGCACGCCTCCCCTTCACACGCGTTCACGCTACTGCGCATTGACACGCGCTGCACGGAGCAAACAGCTGGACTCGCCAGACGGACGCTCAAGCAGCAAATGCTAGTCACTTCTCTCCTGGATCACGCGTACAAAACTCCAGGGAGAACGCGAGGTGTTCCAGGCCGTACTTGCACATCCCCCTCACCTCCTGTCCTCATAGTCTCATCAGGCTGACAGCTTGAGGCCGACTAAAGGCGGCACTCATGGGGCTACCCAAACGTGGAGAACAGCTTTGCTCTTGCCTGTCCCCCTCCCCCGCTTCAACACGGGTGGATGCAACGCAGGCATCCCGAGAGTCGCCGCGCCCGTCGCAGGCGGCCGAAACCAATGTACGCCCTGGTTTCAACCCCATCTGGACAGCCGTGCCAATTACGCCCGCGGGAGAGCACGCCTCACTGACCAGACTCTGCACTAAGAAGGGGCCCTTCCTGTAGCTCCACTGCTCTGCCGGAGGGACATGTGCAACGATCCCCTTACTCCTGCTGACAGGTAACCAGTCCACCACGTGTTTGAAAACTCTGACCTCGAGCATCTCATCATCCTCTTTTCCAGTTTCAAATGCGATTGTGAGATATGTATGGTGATACTCCTCGTCAATCTCCCCCGCTGCTCTGTTAAGCACGTATAGTGTCGTCGATCTCGAACTTCTTCTTCAGATGACCCAGTCGCGCGCTGCCGCCCTGGACCAGGACCCTGCGCATCTCCACTCTTCGGGCAATGCCCCCCTCCCGCAGTCCGCCGCCCCCCACCCCCAGGGCAGTTCACGACATGCACGGCGAGACGACCGATGAACACTTCGGGAGCCTTTGGACTTCTTCGCCCGCGCCCAGCAGTAGTCGCGTCTCCCTGGCGCCGGATGTTTCCACATGGACTTGTCCTCGCCGTCCAGACACGCCCCCCTCATACTGCTCCGCCCCTCACTGGCGCGCGCCTGTCGGGCGGGTCGTCCGCGCTTTTGCCCTCGCGTGCCCCCTCCCCCCCCCCCCCGTCTTTGGCTGCATAGCCTGCATCCCCCTTCTCTTCGACGCCTCTCCTCGCTCGCGCCGCCGGCTGAGCGCTCTGCCGCTGAACGCCTCCCTCCCTCCCCCGCTCTCCCCCATCGGAGGGTCCTCGTCGCCCTGCTCCTCCCCCGCCTCCTTGGGCGGTGCGAACCGCCTCAGGTTGTCGGGCTTCACCTGGAGAGCTGGCGGCCCATCCGTCCTCGTCATGCTTGTACATCTCCTCCTCGTCCACCTCCTCCTGGGGAGAGGACGGGGCGGCGGAGGAGACGGGGGGGGGGGGACGCGGAGGCGGAGGAAGGGGGGAGGAGACATAAGGATGAGAACGTCGGCTCCCCAACTCCCCCTTCTCCCCCTCCCTCTTCCTTGTCATTATCCGCGCTCTCGTAGTCGGCATCCTCTCCTTGCCTGCCACCTCATTCACCTCCTTCTCCATGGTATCCCCGCTCTCGTTTTCCTCGTCCTTCAGACTGTCCTGGTCGTCCTCCTCCTACTGGAGGAGCGGGGGGGGGGGCAGGGGTGGTGGAGAAGGAGTGAATGACGAAGCCGAAGAGCAAGAGGATGAAGACCAAGCAAAGGACTCATGTGGAAATGGAAATGAGGACGCGGAGAAAGGGGGGCCGGGGAAAGGAGGGTGATGAGGAGGAGAAATACTTTTCCCAACCGCAAAGCAGGGCAGGAGGGAGAATCCGCTGCCCCTCCAGGGGGCTATCCCGCACCACGGGCAGAGAAGACGAAGCACCAGGCGAATGCAGAAATACCGCCGCAGCCGTGCAGCAGGCCTGCTCAACAGGCTGTCCTGCGAGCGTGGCCGAAAGACCGTCGATGGAAGTCGACCGCGGGGCGAAGAGACAAAAAAAACAGCAATAACCATAGACTCGGGAAGAGGGAGAAAGGAGAAGGAGAGGAAGGAGGGAGGAAGAGGAATCGAGTAAGACAACACGTTGCCAGATGGGAGCTGGCCGCATGCTGACTCAGGACGGTATCGCACAACATGGCGGCAACCAAATGTGGCTGCTTTCTGTGCCCTGCAATGTCGGAGACCAAATCCCGACATACACTAGATGAGAGGGGAGCGGAGGAGGGGGAGGAGGAGGTAAGGGAAAAGCAGACAAAGAGAATGCATGGAACATCGAATGCTGGGTGCGCGCATTCCCCAACTATACATGCTAAGTCTGATGGTTGGCACTGCGGAGCCCGGTAGACGAGACGCTGCACCGCAGGAGGAGAAGATGAGGAGAGAAAGATGACTACAGAACGAACGAAGAGAAGGAGCAGGACAAATCAGTTGTGGCGAAGGGGAACGGAGAAAGGAAGTTGGAATGGGTAAAAGGGGAAGGAGAAATGAGGAGGGTTGGAGGGAAGAAAAGGAGGAAGAAGGATGAAGAAAGGAGGGCAAAATGCATATTCTCCCTGCTCATCCTCCTCCTCGTCCTCCTCCTCGTCCTCCTCCTCCTCCGCGTCGTCACGAACAACAGCAGTAGCATCAGCATCAGCATCAGCATCAGCATCAGCATCAGCATCAGCATCAGCATCAGCATCATCATCATCATCATCATCATCATCATCATCATCATCATCATCCCCATCATCATCATCATCATCATCCTCATCATCATCACCATCATCAGCAGCAGCAGCATCAGCATCAGCATCATCATAATCAGCATCAGCATCAGCATCAGCAGCAGCATCATCATCATCATCATCATCAGCAGCAGCATCATCATCGTCATCATCATCATCATCAACATCATGACCATCATCATCATCATCATCATCATCATCATCATCATCAGCATCATCATCATCATCATCCTCATCCTCATCCTCATCCTCATCCTCGTCCTCATCCTCATCCTCATCCTCATCCTCATCCTCATCCTCATCCTCATCATCATCATCACCACCACCATCACCACCATCATCATCATCATCATCACCACCACCACCACCACCACCATCACATCATCAGCATCGAGCAGCTTCATCATCATCATCATCAGCAGCATCATCTTCATCAAAATCCTTCATCATCATCATCATCATCATCACCAACCACCAAAAAAAGAAAAAAACCAAACACCAATCACCATCCATCATCATCATCGTCACCATCACCACCATCATCAATCATCATCAATCATCATCATCACCACCCACCACCAACATCATCATCATCATCATCATCATCATCATCATCATTATCATCATCCTCATCATCCTCATCATCACCATCATCATCAACATCATCATCATCAGCATCATCATCAGCAGCATCATCATCAGCATCACCAATACCTTCATCATCATCACCACCAACAACCTCATCACCGACACCATCATCATCATCATCATCATCATCAGCAGCATCATCATCATCATCGTCATCATCATAATCATCATCATCATCATCATCATCATCATCATCATCATCATCATCATCGTCATCGTCGTCAGCATCATCACCATCAGCAACAACTACTACGACAACAATAAGAATGACGACAACAACAACAGCAGCAACAACAGCATGAACAACAACGTCGTCGTCATCATCATCAGTATCATCATCATCATCATCATCACCATAATCGACAATAACTCCCACCGTAATCGTCCTCAAATACATCATCATCAGCAGCAGCATCATCCTCGTCAGCATCATCATCATCATCATCATCATCATCATCATCATCATCATCATCATCATCATCCATCCGAAATCCACATTCAAATCTGAATATGCATCCGAATCCGTATACTCATCATCATCATCAGCATTATCATTAACCACCTTAACGCCATCACCAGCCTCATCCTCATCAGCATCTTCGCCCTCCTCATCCAAGATCATTGCTACCATTGCAGCCGCATCATCCTCAGCATCACCACCTTCAAAAACAGCAGCAGCAGGAGCATTAGCAGCAGCAGCAGCGCTACCATCCAACCCTCTTCCTCCTCCTCTTCCTTCAATTCCTCTTCCTCATCCTCCTCCTCCTCCTCCTCCTCCTCCTCCTCCTCCTCCCCCTCCTCCTCCTCCTCCCCCTCCTCCTCCTCCTCCTCCCATATGGATTCCTCCTCCTCTTCCTTCAATTCCTCTTCGCCTCCCCTGCTCCTTCCCGTCAGTCCAACCTCCGCCCCCCAGTCCTCCACTCCCTTCCCTCCCTGCCCGCCTCCCCCTCATTCTCTCCCTCCTCCCTCATCCTCTTCGTCGCCCTCCTCCCCACCTGCCCACCTCCCTCCTCACTCCTCCCTCCTGCTCCCTCGCCCTCGTCGTCGTTGCCTTCGCCCCGCCGCCGCCCTCGAAGAGCACGCTCCACCGGCCACTCGCCTCCGGCGCGGCGGGGAGGGGAGGACACGAGATGGCCCTGTTGAAAGAGTGCTCGAAGGCTGCCTTGAGAAAGTCCTCGTAGAAAAATGAAAAAAATGATTGCCAGCGCGGGCCCAAAACGATAAGCTGTTGCACTCTCGATTCCGATGCGCAATATCTGTGGTGGAAGGTACGTAGCGTTAGCGGTGTAAGATGTGCGGCCATCAGTCC